AGCCCGGGCAGGGTGACCCCAGCCAGCCTTAGGGCTGTGGGAAGGGAGCCCCAGCACCACCCCGCTGGTACCCACCACCCCAGAGCAGGTCGAGAGCCCCGTTCTCCTTGCAAAGGTCCAACCGAGGAGCACGAAGCCCTGCAAGGACACAGATCTCCTCCAGCCCATCAGGACCAGGAGGAAGAAAGGAGCTGGGCAGTGCTCAAATCCTCTCTCAGCGAGGCACCACGGGACAAAGGAGACGTGCAGGGGCAGCGTGTGAAGAGGTAGAAGTTTATTGGAATATAAACATTCAGATAACCTGTAAGATAGAAAAAACCCAACAACAACATATACAGACACTTGTTGGAAGGAGACGTTGAGGTATTTATCCACCGCCTAGGCTATCACATCTTTATTTAGTTATCTTCTTTTCTTTTTAAATAGGTAAGAAAACTAGTAGCAAGGCTGCTGCAGCTGCTTGGAGAACCGGTGTTCCGGTGTGATTCCCTACGGAGCACGCACGCACGCAGGCGTGAGGCGTTCACGTTCACCTTGGGAGCAGAGCAGCCTCCCCCTCGCCTCTTCCCCCTTTCCCAGCTCAACCCGACACTGGGATCTGCCAGAGGAGGAGAAGCAGGTTTGGTTCTGTGGTTTCTGGGTTGGACGTTGAACCCAACTGGCGACTCCCCCCCCCCACTGCAGCAGGAGCATCGCAGGCTGCGTGGAAGCAAGCTGGGGGCTTTCTAGTTTTGGTGTATGATTTTTGGCTGCTCGCTGCAAAACCTTGGCTGGTCTGGAGTTGAAGAGAGCCTTCAGCCACACTGCGGAGCAGAGCACTTCACCCGAGGAACACTCCTACCCGCAGTATCAAAACCCTGAGAACTCTACAATCGAACACGGGCGAGTGAAATGAAGGGGAGCCGGGGCAAGGGGGGATCCCCCGTCCTCACTACTGCCCCATCCCTGCTGCTGGGTTCCGTAACCCTGGCCCCAAAGCCCGGCACCTCAGTAGATCTGGAGCTCAGCAAAACAAGGGTTAAGCCAGTGTCAAAGCCAGGCTTAGGGGAAGGGTTACTCTTCACAGTCTGAGTGGCCCATCCTCACCGTGTGCTGAGGAAGGACCAGTTTATTGTCGCAGCTTATTTTTTACTGAGGTATCTGTTACGCATCTCGACTTGCTTCTTTCCCTGAATTGGATACAAAACAATCTGTTAGTCCCTGTCTAGTTCCAGTCTAGTTGTGTAAAGCTTATAAACATTAATACTCTAGTAGTGTCAAAGCTGTTTGAGCAGTTCAGTGATTCGAGTGCCTTTCTGTGCAAGAACACACAATGTTAGCATGTGATACATAAGCAAAACCACCCATTACTAAACCTCTGCTCCCCAGGACCAGAGAAGAAAGCATAAGAAAAGCAAAAAGTGCCCCGGTCCCACTCAGAGGAAACCCCACCCCCAAATAAAACCCAAAACCAAATATAAAAGGGGAAAACCCAACAATCTGAATGAGCCCCAGAGGCTGGAAAAAATCCTTTCCAAGGAGGAAACATGGTGGGGGCCTGTGGGATCTGCCAAGCAACTGCCCCACAGCCAGCAAACAGCTTGGCCTCCCCATGCCCAGGTGAGGATTGGGATATTTGGGAGCAGCATCTCTCTCAGGACACATGCATCCTCCTCTTCCTCCTCCCCTCAAGTCCACAGGATGGCAGGTAGCTGGATAAATCGACCCCTAGTATCTCAACTAACCATCGAGAGAGTGTAAGAGCCTCTTGCAACTAGGAGGTGCTGCCCATGGCTTGCATAAGCCTTAGCACGAGCACTCGAGGCCAGAGCAGCAGCACAGCCAAGGAGTGCTGGGGATTACAAAGGAGAAGCTGACATCTGAGAGTTTAAGGGATTATTAATTCATATCTATGTATGTTTTTAAGCCCAATCCTCCTACTGCTGACAGGGCCCTTCCTGGGGTGCTATCTGGCTCTGTGCTTTTTAAAGCCATGGCTTTTCAGTAGTATAAAACAAAGAGCTGCTGGGTGCAGGACATCCTGGGAGCACAGGGCTTCTTCCCAAAGGCTGCCCGGCGTGGCTTAGTCTTGCAGTGCAGACACAAGTAGCTCGATGTGGGATAAAGCAGTGGCTGGGTGCAGCACTGCAAGACTGAGCCGTGCTTCCAGGGGCCAGAAACGGTGTCTGTGTCACATAATGTGCTGCCTAAAGCAGAGCTGGCACCTCCAAGCTGCCCTGAGCGTGTCTGCTCATGGCAAGCACAGATGCTGGAGCTTGGAGACACCCTCATGTCCAACATGAAGGACAGTAAGGGGTTGCTCGTGCCCGCTTCTCCTACCTCTACCTGGCCTCCTGTGCCATGCACGTGTCCTGGGGCAATGCTGCTCACCTTGTCCCCCCGCTGGCTGAAGGCTGGGGAAGCCAGTGCTCCTTTGCTCAGCCTTTTTGTTTGCCTTTTGCCAAACTTTGTCTTTGGTGATAGAGTCAAAAATAAACAATAAAACACAACGTCAGCAAAACCACATATAAAAAACAAGCGATAAGATATGCCAATACTTCCTGAAGAGGTTAAAAACCAACCAACCCCAAACAAACAAACAAAAACCCCCAACAACAAGTACATATCTGAGGTATTTCATCTGCTCAACAAAACCTGACTCGGGTCTGGAGGATGGGAAGGACATCACCAGGGCAGGACGGTGCTTGGACCCCATCTCCAGGCTGGGGAAAGCAGGGGTGGGAAAGGCCAAAGAAGAGGGACAGGATGAGACCACCTGAGCTCATGGAGTCATTAAGGAGAGCCAGGGCCAGCCTTTGCTTGCTGTCAGCTGGAGGTTTGAAGGGAACAAGGGCAAGGAAGGGCTTGATTTCCTTTCCTCTGCTTCCACCCAGCAGAGCAAAAGGTCTCAGCTCAACTGAGCTGCTTTCTTTTTGCTCACGTGCAATTTGAAGGGGACTGGGCTTGTTCAGAGACCAACAAGATGATGTGTGTGATGTTAACCACGACACCCGTGCACACCCCACGGACCTGCTGAATTCCATCAATGCATCCCCCTCTGTGGTCTTGGCGCCCAGATGTGGAGTGCTTCTTCCAGGGGCTACTGAAAGACACCTTATGAGAAGGAAGTCACCCTGGGAAGCCTCCATCAAGCTAAGGTTGTGTCACGGGGGCAGAGGATCAAAACACCAAGCCACAAGCAGTTCAGGGTGAACGTCAGTGAGATGAATTCCTCAAGGGGAGACACAGACAAGGTGAAGGGCATTTAAAACTCGGCTGAAAGCCTGAAGGCAACAGGCGTGACGAGGCTGGCACCAGCCAGGAGGATGAATTAGCTGATGGAATGGTTTTTAATGTGTCTGTGGGTCAAAAGTGAGGTCCTGCCCCTCTTGCCAAGGCCTTAGAGAAGGGAAAGGAGGCTCCTAAGCCAAGAGCATGTGTTCAACATATGAACACCAGACCGCAGCAGAGCCTGGAGAGGAAAAGTGAGGAAGCAGAAGCCTTCTGCAGCACAAGCCATGGGAGGATGGGGTCTCAGGATTGTCAACACATGGAGTTGTTTTGTGGGAAGAGTCCTGGTGGCTGCTGGCTCAAGGAGAACCAAGTTTCCCTGCCCCATCTCCAGCTCTTTCCACCTGCCTTGGTGACGTCTTGGCCATCTCTCACCCATCCCACAGCTCCTAGAGATGATCCCTGATTGGAAACCCACCCCTCAACAGGAACACAGCAAACCCTGGGAGGAGAAGGAGGAAGAAAACAAAAAGCAAAAGGGAGGAGAGAAAGTGGAGAACAAAGAATAAAGGCTGGACAAAGAGACGATGAAGAAAAACTTGCTGGCGTGGAAAGGTTTCAGCAGCAGCAGCATCATCATCCTGCTGTTGGCCAAGCCCAAAACCAGGTTCCTTGAGATGAGGTAAATCTGTGCGACTCCTTCCTGGCTCGCTCCCTGTGGAGAGCAGGGAGGAAGCTGGAGGCCAGTGTGAGAGACAGCAGGCTGGGCCTTCCGTCAGAGAGACCAGCTGGGGGAGGGCTCTGCGCCGGGGGTTCCCCGCGATGAGGTAGGGCTGGGAGAGCAGTGGGAGCTGCTGCTGCTGGTGCAGGAGCTTTGGGTGCTGGAGCCTGCAATGAGGTGGACGACGGGCTTCTGGGCAAAGAGCACTCCTGCAAGGCAGAGAGAGGGGAAGGGAAGGGTTATCGGGACTAGGGGGGGGCACGGCTGAGGCGGAGAGGGGAGAGCGCAAAGGGTATCTATCCAACCCCAAACAGCCCAACAGAAAGGCTCAGGGCAAAATCGAGCAGGCCTGTGGCGTCAGTGGTCACCAAGATACAGGGAGGGATCCCCTGGGACTTGCTCTGGCAGCCTTGTGCTCACAGAAGGCAAAGATCCCAAACGGCTTCAACACCGTTGGAGGAGAAGCAGCTTTGACCGTGCTGCAGCACCAGGCCTCCCACCTTGGCTCTGTCACCTGTGTGACCTGCAGAAGTGAAACGGCTTGAGCAGAGCACGGGGGGGACAATCCCCACTGCCCAGAGATGTGGGAGGTAAACCTGAGTAAAGCCACTCCTCAGGAGAAGAAGGATAATACTCCTTCCTACGAACACAGCTACAGACATCCCTTCCTTTAGGGGTTTAACACAAGCACCACCAGATGGAAAGGGCATTCATCCCCAGGACCAAAGGCAGGAGAAACCACCGCCTGCTGAGCTCTCCAAGCTGGGCACGTTGTGCCTCTTGTGCTTTGGCAAAGGCCAGCCCCGGGATCGTGCCACCCTCTCCCTGTGCCACCAGCCTGGCTCTGGCCAGGTTCTTTCTCACCAGCGTAAGTCGTGCCGTTGATCTCCACCGACATGTTGATGCTCCCAATGCCATTAGGGGACAAGTTCAGCGCCGCCGCCGCCGCCGGGTCTGCTTTGTCTTCTTTCAAGAAGGAAGAGGTGCAGAGTTAGAGAGTAGCTGCCCTGCTCCCTGCCCTCCCCAGAGATGATCAAAGGCGGACACAACCCTCCTGGTGCCTCCTCTCTCCCCACAAAGTATTACAAAGGAGTTTACACGTTTCCGTGCGAACTGAGCCCATTGGCATTTACAAATCCCTCCCTGACTCAGAAGTTGGAAGCCAAATTAACATCTCCCTCCAAAGCAGCAGCTGCCAGCAGAGGAGACAAGGCTGTGGGTGCCATCAGCTGCGTGGTGGCTGCGTGGAGCCCCTCTGCCGGGGTCCGGATGCAGCCGGCCCGGCGGGGA